TACTATGAAATATGCAAGTTATTTTTTAAAACAATGCCAAGAGAAGGCAGTTATGAAGAATGTAAAATCTGCAGTCTAAGATTTCTGTGCATTTGTGGTTCATAAATTTAAAGGATTTAGTAAATTAACTTCTACAAGAATCATCCCTGACAAGATATACATTCTAGTATAACTATTTTTATTTCAACATGGACATCAGACTCCTTTGACGAGATCTAACAAACACACCTATTTAGAAGTGTGTGTGTGTGTAGCGGATGCGTGCCATAAAGAATAACTGCAATCAGGAATAGAACTGTTAGGTGAGAGCAGAAATTTATGAAATGAAGGCTCACTGAAATAATCAAGAACTGTAAATAAGGTTTATTATTACAGATGTTGCGAAGCTTAGAGTACCTTTAGCTAAACAAAGTGAGATCACTGGTTTTAGTTACAGAACTCAATGACGTTGATTCAGTTTTTTTAAAATGAAAAAACAGAGAAGCCTGATGAATGGAATGAAGTTAACATGTACCTCGATTTCCAAAAGGCATTTGACAAATATTACATTTTAATATCTTAAAACAGAAGTACAGGGTACAATATGGAATAAAAACAAAGCACTTGAATCTCAGGAGATCTGGCAGCACCTGTGGAGACGGGGAACAGAGTTAACCTTTCAACTCTGATGCTGTGGCTTCAGAACCGAAAGGAATTGGAAAATGAAGGATTTTATGCTGCTAATTCAGAGGAGGGAGCATGTGGGTCACATGGAGAGACGACAAGGAGCAAAAGCCAAGGGAAGTGCTCACGGTGATTGGGGAGTGTTAGAGGTATAAATTTAAGTGTGAAAGATGCTCTCAGCAGAGTCAACAAGACTGAGTCAGCCCTTGATCTCACCAAGGTAAAGGAGACTACATTGTTAGAAGAGAATACAGATTTGTGAACCCTCCAAACTTACGAATACTCATCCTTACAGACACGGTCCCATACAGGGGCATAAGTTTAAAGACCTGGCATATGAACATTTCCTCTACTTGTGAACAGCTGCTTTACACCGTGCTCCAACTGACTTGCAAACAGAACCCGTTCACGAGAATTGACTGTAAACTAGATTGAAAAGTACAAGTGAAATATTCCTTCCCTGTTTGGGGCCTGGACAGTGAGGGAGGGGTAGGTGGATGGACAAGGTTTACACCTCTTGCAATTGCATGGGATGGTACAGGGGATACATAGTGTTAGGAGTGATGAAAGAGCAGACCAGAATGTCAAGCAGAATCTCGTCCCTGCAGAAGAATGCAGACACAGTGGAAGATGCATTTGGTGGCTGGAGGTGGAAGTAATGGAAGAGGATGAATGATAAATATGGAGATTGGTAATGTAGAAAGCGAGGATAAGAGAACCTTATCATTGCTCTGGGAGGGGAGGGAATGGGTGAGGGCAAAAAGTGCAGGAAATGAGCCAATCATGGTTGAGGGTCCTGTCAATCATGATGGAAGGGGGAAATGCTGGGTTGTACAATATGGAGTCTGAAGTATCATGGACTAATTTGATAAAACAAAGAACTACAAATAGTGGAAATCTAAAACTAAAACAAATTGCTGCAGAAACACAGGAGGTCTGGCATCTGTGGAGACAGAAACCGGAGTAACATTGACTCCAACTGCCCTTCTTCAGAACTGATAGTAGCTAGGAAAAAAACTAAAAGAGGTATTTACCTTGACAATAGTGTGTCAGAAGGAAAAGAGTGAGCTGATAGGTGGAGATGGAGCTTACAGAGACTTAGGCTGACAAAAGGGATTGGTGATATTAAGCCAAGGAAGAAAAGCCAGATAGGTGACAATGGGGACAATGACAGAGTGAAAATGGATGATCTGTGCTGAAAGCAATCCATGTCATGACTATACCTGGAGTGTGTGGTGGATAAAAGACATGTGGTGCTCAGGCTCTAAAATGATTGAACTCTTCATTGAGTCCTGAAGGCTGCAGGGTCCACAAGCAGCTTAAATTGAGCCTCATTGGAGCACTGCAGCAAGCCCAAGACAGAGACATTGACATGGGAACAGTGGTTATTGATGTGGTGGGCAACTGGAAACTCAGTCATTTTTATGTACAAAACATTGGGTGACCACTTTGTAGAACATGTCTGCATTTCATCTCCCCGGTACAGAGATCACATTGTGTGCAGCAAGTACAGTAGACTAGATTGAGTGAAGCGCAGCTAAATTATTGCTTTACCTGGAAGGTGCAGCTGGAACCTTGGACAGTGAGGAGGTAAACAAGCAAGTGTTGCACCTTCTGCAATTGCACGGGAAGGTGCCGTGGGAGTGTGAGGTGAGTGGAGGACTGTATCAGAGGGAACAGTCCCTGCAGAATGCTGACAAAGGAGTGAAGGTGAATACGTGTCTGGTGGTGGTATTGAGCTGGAGGTGGCAGAATTGGCAACTAATGATCCTTTGGATGCAAATCTGGTGAGGTGGAAGGTGAGGACCAGGGAGACCCTATGGTTGTGGGCGAGAAGAGTGCAGGCAAGGATAGAAGTGCAGGAAACGGGTTTAACTTATTTGATCCACTTTAGTTTATAAATGTTCATACTCAAATGGCCATAAGAGGACAATATTACACACTACTATCCTCCACGAAAAAAAGATATTGAGTTTCACAAGATTTTCACATTGCTTCACTTTCATTTATTCACAAAACAAATTTAACCACTGGTTTCTATTCCTAACAGAACACCTGTTAACCTGACTTAAACCAGCACAACATACAATAGGTGTTGGTTTGAGTCTAAGGAGACATTCTTCCAACGAAGACTGATTTTTGACAAATAAAATCCAAAAGAACTGCAGATGCTGTAAATCAAACAAAAACAGAAGTTGCTGGAAAAGTTCAGCAGATTTGGCAGCATGTGCGAAGAGAAATCAGGGTTAACGTTTCAGGTCCGGTGACGCTTGCTCAAAACCAATGGTAGCTAGGAAAGTGTTGCGTTATATGTAGGGAGCAGGTAAGGAGTAAACGATAGGTGGAAATAGAGCCCAAAGAGAGAGAAGAACAGTTGGACAGACAAATGAGTGAGTAACAATCTGGCTAAGAGAGTGAATAGCTGTTAATGGAGACTGTTACTGGCTAACAACGGGTAGTTGCTCTGCTCAGGACTGTAAGAAACTACAGAAGACTGGTGTCCAAAGCCAAGACAATCACAGAAGCCAACCTCCCATCCATGGGCTCCATTTACACTTCCCGTTACCGGTTGTCAACATTAAAGACCCCTCTCATCCTGGTAATGCTCTCTTACAACCGCTTCCATCAGGCAGAAGATACAGAAGCTTGAACACACACACCAAAAAGGTATCAAGAACAGCTTCTTCCCTGCTGTTATTAGGCTGCTGAATGGACTCTCCAACTGCAAACAATGTTGACTTTGCTTTGTGCACCTCCTGTGCAGTTTTTAACCTGTTTCCTCACTCTAAGCACCCTATGATCTGTATGTCCTTGTTTTCTATGATCTGCCTGTACTGCTCACAAAACAATGCTTTTCACTGTACTTTGGTACATGTGACTACAACAAATCAAATCAAAAATCAAAATGTGTCCAATCTCTCTTTATAACAAATTCTCCAGCCCAGGCAACATCCTGGTAAGTATCCTCTGCATCGGTGTCTAACATTTGCTTTATAAGAACAGGCTTTTAGTAATATGTATAGTGCACTCAGCAGAATATTACGATGGAACTCCCGTGTGTTTCTCTCAAATTGTCTAAATTCTGAGAAAGCGGAGGCCTTTTGTCAGACAATTTCCTCCGACAACCTAAGCAGAAACAAAACACACAAACTACCTGCCGTTTAGCTAGTTGTTGCTCGATTCACTGGAAACCCCTTAACCAATTTTGAATGGCTCTCTCATCACAATGAATACCTGCTCCCCTGCAAATGCCGCTTCTGCCACACTCTAGCTAGTTGTTTTCATGGTTACAAAGGTTCCAATAACATTCTCTCTGTTGTTTGAAATACTCTACACTTTCACTTTGTCTTCGACGTCTGCATCTAACCTTGGCTATCAGATTTCTCCTCACTGGTCTCTGCCAAACTAGATGTTGATTATTTAGATTGCACAGTTCTTGCCATCTGTATTTTACAGGATTTACAACTCTGGCTCCCACACAACTCTATCAAGGCAACTCATTCTTCCACATAAAATAAAAATGGCCCAAGTTCCAAACCCAGTCTCTGTTTAGCAACCCATATGCAATATAGTCACACGTTCATGCAAATACAAGGTCTCCATGAGCTATCCACCAATGTCATTAACGAGTTGCTAGTCACACACAAAGTGCAAAAAGAAAATTACATCTTCCCTATTAATCATAAAATACCTACAGTGTGGAAGCAGACCATTTAGCCCATCAAATCCACATTGACCTCGCAAAGAGTATCCCACCTAGACCTATCACCCAACCGTATTCTGGTGTCCCTGCGTGTCCCATGGCTAATCCACCTAGCCTACACATCCCTGGACACAGCAGGCAATTTATTATGGCCAATCCACTTAACCTGCATGTCTTCTGACTGTGGGAGGAAATCAGAGCACCCAGAAGAAACCCGTACAGATGTGGGGAGAATGTGTAAACTCCACACAGACAGTTGCCTTACGGTGGAATTGAACTTGGATCTCTGGAGCTGAGGCAGTAGTGATAACCTCAGCCACTGTGCCACCTAATTCTATTTCCTTTGATGGAGATGATAACCAAGGCCTCACATCAGTATTACAACGATCGTCTCATTTTTCGTATTTAAATTTTTATTTGCTTGCAAACACAACATTAAGTCCATATTTGCATTCAGCAAGTAGGTACTGGCGACTCTGGATCCTGAAGGTTTTCAGTGCCTATGGTCATTTCAGTCATGAACGTATGATCTTACCAACACCGACTAAGTCTTAATCAAAAATCAAGGATCATGCTTCACAATGAGCATAAAAGTTTGTTCACAGGCATTGAGGATGCGAGAAACAAATACAAATCAATCTCTCCTAATCAACAGCCAGCACAAGTAATCAGAGCACCTGCTCTCTTAGAAGAGACATGATATGCCAACTTCATTTCTTTGGACATACTGAAATGTACAAGCATTGTACCATTTTCCAATTTACATTTAGAAATGGTCATATACCTTTCTCCAATTTCACACAACACCCTTCAAGGGATCATTCAACAGTGTATAATGTTGCCAAATTTACCATAACAAGTCATTCGATACAAAAAAAATGAGCTCTGAAATACCGAGGACATGATATTCTTCTTATTGATTGAACCTTCTTCTCATCAAGATGTAAGTTATCTTTATCCATCCTGTGAACAAGTAGAATTTTGAAAGTTTCATTTTTTGGTGCTTTCACCCAAACTCCATGTACATCTGATATATTCTTCAATACCCTTGCCAGCAAAGCCGAAGTCCCAGAATAAAAGGGAGAGTAGCAGCACAAATATGGATTTGGTTGATTGACAAGAAATGGCAGTGGGGAACAGATGCTTTTCAGGCTGGAGGAAGGTTTGTAATGGCATTTCCAGAAGTTGGTGATCTTGACAGGCAAATGTTAACAGGCCTGATGGAAGTATAAATAGCGTCGTAGAGTCATACAGCATGGAAACAGAGCCTTTGGTCCAACCAGTCCATGCCGAACATAATCCCAAACTAAACTAGGCCCACCTGCCTGCTCCTGGCCCATAATCCCTCCAAGCTTTCCCTATTCATGCAACTACCCAAATGTCTTTTAAATGTTGTAACTGTACCCACATCTACCACTTCCTCCAGAAGTTCATTCCACATGCGAACCACCCTGTGTAAAAACATTTGCCTCTCCTGTCTTTTTTAAAATCTTTTCTCTCACCTTAAAATTATGCCCCCTAGTCTTGAAATGTCCCATCCCAGGGAAAAGACAACTACCATTAACTCTATCTATACCCCTCATTATTTTATGAGCTTCTAACGGGTTGCCTCTCAATCTCTTACACGCCAGCAAAAAAAATGTCTCAGCCTTTCTTTATTACTCAAACCTTCCATATCCTGGTAAATCTCTTCTAAACCCTTTCCAGCTTAATAATAAGCTTCCTATAACTGGGTGACCAGAACTGGACACACTATAGGCCTCACCAATGAACTGTATAACCTCAACAAGACTTCACAACTCCTATACTCAAAGGGCTGAGCAATCGTGCCAAATGCCTTTTTAACCACCATCTCTATGTGACACAAATCTTCAAAGAATTCTGTATTTGCACCCTAGGTCCCTCTGTTCTACAACACTACCCAATTAATTGTATGATGTCTAACCTTGTTTGTTGTTCCCAACTTTCCCAGTGTTGGTCAATTAGACTATACCGCACAGGTTTTTTTATACTAGTTGTTCCTTGCTGTAATATGCAAGCATCCATTATATGCAAGTCAGCCAGAGATGAGCTCCAATATTAAACCAGCCTGTTGCTCAGGAGCTCCAAAGAAAGGTATTTAATCCAAATGCTGCTTTATCTTTTCACCTGCTAATATGTCTAGAGCGTATTTAAAGTTACTTTCTGATTTTGTTTCTGAACAAACAGATTCTGGTCTTGTCTCAAGGGACTGAGCTTCCTACTCTTTTCTATGTATCAACAGATTGGACAGTACAGTGATTAAATCACAACTCAGCATTCACACATTAGCAACCTTCAATAATTCCCAGAGTGCCACCTGGAGTGACAAGTAACATTAATACAAAATGCAAAATTCATTCCGAGGAAATGCATGACCAGTTCAAGAGAATCCTCCACATTCCACACAGAGGGACTAGACTCCTTTGGGGTGATAACTGTACAAGTAATAACAGCAGGGTACAATTTCCACATTTACATTCCAAAAAGCAGCTCAGGAAATCTTGGCTAAGAGCTCTCTCGATCCCTGCATAATCAGGTTCATGCCTGCAGCTGCAGCCTATAGGGGAGGAACCCCTAACATCCAAGTGCAAAACAATCTAGTTCAGCAATCACAAGTCATTCAAAATGATGAAGAATCCCCTACAGTGGCAAAACACAAATCTTCCTGTAATCAAACCTAGAGGTACCAGGCAGTCTGAAAACTTTTGGTGACAGTCCACGTGATTCGAAAATCATTGTATACACGGGACGAAAGAACACACTAACTGATTCACAGAAAGCCCTGACTGCAGGTTAGACAGAATGCATATTACTCTGCATTAACCAGTGGAATTAATCCTGACCTCATGGTCTAATCAGTCCTCAAAAATCCTTAATAGACCAAAAGAAAAATAGTTGTTTGTCAATTCAACTTAATAAAATAATCTCTCTACAAACCAGGATTTGGGCTCCCCAAAGTGCAAGTAGTTGATGCTGTAGAGGTCCATATCTTCAGTGTGCCAGGCAAATGTAGTTTTCCACATCCCAAAGTACAAGTATGGAGTATTCACACCTTCAATCACAATTCCACACTCCTGTTCCACCATATCCAGTAATGTGTTGAGGTTTCCAATGTTCCACTCTTCAATATTCTATAATGAAGGATGAGAGAACAAAATGATAACACTAAGTCATGGAAAACATACTATATACATGTTCAAACCTCATTAATACTCAACCAATACATGCAACCTTTCATAAATATACTTGCCCTAATCCATGTGCTTGTAAAAATGCAACTGTTCACTTCTAAGTATCACTGTAACACTTAATGCCAAGATCTCATGTAACAAGACCATCAAGAATACTCATAGATTTGTAAGTAATAAAATCTTCACTGGCTTAGAGAATATTAGGGGTTAAGAAAATGGTCAAAGTAATAATTAAAACTAATTATTCACATCATATTTTGTAGGAATAAATTTATGACTGATTCAAGTTCAAGAAAAGAACAGCAAGTCTGCTGTGTCTAAATCCTTCAAAGATTGAACAAGAAATAATTCAAACTATCCTGAAGGGATGGCCATGAATTAAATAGGAGATCTATCAATCTTCATAAGGCATCTTCTGCTCTTTAGCCAGGAAACAAAAGGGAATCCAAATCTACACCAACACAACACCTTCACACATTAACCATTCTCCCCCAGTTCAACTTTACAAGATCAATTAAAATTGTTTTCTTAATCCTGATCAAAAAGTCAATGGACTTGACATTCAAGAGGACCTCTGTCACCTCAGAGAAACAGCTGGATTCTATCTAAAAAAAAAAGTTCAAAAATGTTGAAAACGAGATGGTAAAATTTAAATACAATTAATAAATAAATTCAATTAATGAAAGATCTGGAAATTAAATCTGGTCAGTGCCACGAAATTATCAATTGCATAAAAACCCATCTGGTTCACTGATGTTCTTTCGGGAAGGAAATTTGCCATCCTTACCTGTTCTACATGTGACTCCAGACCTACAGCAATGTGGTTGATTCTTAAATGCCCTCTAAAATAACCTCGCAAGCCACTTAGTTCAAAGGAAAATAGGGATAGGCAACAAATGCTGGCTTTCCCAACAATACACATCCTAGTAAAGCTTTTTTTTTTGAAAAGGCACACACTAAGAAAGGAGGAGGAAAGGGGCACCAAAATTTCTAGGAGTATAATAATCACAATATAAAAAATTTCTAATAGGTAAGAATATATGCTGTGCTTACAAGATCTAGATTGTAGTAGAAATCCATGAACAATTGAGAGTCAACAAGAACTCATTACTTAAGTTAAGGGAATCAGTGTTACGAGGATGACGCATGGAAGTGAAGTTGAGGATTAGCAGAACAGCCATGATCCAATTAAATGGCACAGCAGATTCAACTGGCTGAGTGGCCTACTTCTGTTGCTTTGTCTAATAGTCTTATGGTCTAATTTTTCTTTAATGAAGAAGTTGGTAGAAAGAGATTGTTTGTTTTGCTGACTGAAATGGAGACTGGATTTGATGTCACACCGTGATAATGGAGCCGTTTAACCCAGTTCCAGTCTAGTCAAGACCTCTTTACAGCACCTAAATGGCAGACGGGTTGCAAAGACCACCCAAGCTGCAGCTGTGGTGCAGTAAAAACAAGGACTCTCATTATCAAGGAGTGTTCCTGACTAAATCTGAAAAAGGGCTTAAAGAATTCTATTTAGCCACTGACAAGTCTACTGTTTGCCTCAATGACTACGCTCACACTAAAAAAGTTAGAATACATCCTTTCATGTCATGTCTAAATCTAAATCTAAACCGCCACATGAAACTACACACACGATACTTTTTGATTACACAGTTCAATATTCCACTGTGACATGTGACGACCACATGTGGCCATAATCAAGTTTCAGGTAATGGAAATTTACAATAGAGAACCATTAAATTTGTATGTCATGAAGACTGGCAAGGTGGTTGACAGTGAGGAAGGTGGTGTTAGGTTACAGGAGGATATAGATGCATTGGTCAGATGGGCAGATGGAATTTAATCAAGTGTGAGGTGATGCACTTTGGAAGAAGGAACAAGACAAGGGAGCATTCAATAAATGGTAGAGCACTAGGAAGCTCAGCAGAATAGAAGGATCTTGGGGCACTTGTCCACAGATCTCTGAAGGTAGAAGAACAAGCTAATAGAGTAGTCAAGAAGGCACGCAGTCACAACATAAATTATAAGACCAGGGGGTTATGTTGGAGCTGTACAAAACTTTGGTTAGGCCACAGCTGCAGCACTGCACTATAAGAAGGAAGTGATTGCACTGGAGAGGGTGCAGAGGCAATTCACCAGAAGGTTACCAGAGATGGAGCAGTTTAGCTACGATCAGAGGTTGGACAAGTTTGGATTGTTTTTTTTAAAAAAAAAAGTGGAGAAGGCCGATGAGGAACCTAACTGAGCTGTACAAGATTGAGGGGTTTGGACAGGTGGATAGGAAGCAGCTGTTTCTTCTTAGATGAAGGCTCATTAACTGAGGACATAATTTTACAGTGAAAGGCAGGAGGTTTAGAGGGATTTGAGGAAAATATTTTTCACCCAGAGGGTGGTGGGAATACGGAATGCACTGCCTAGAAGGGTAATTGAAATGGGAAACTTCAAACTTTGAGGTTTATGATATTTGGATCAATACTTGAAATGTTAAAATATTCAAGGCTATGGGCCAACTGCTGGAAAGTGGACCTAATGTAGAGTTAGAGTAGGTTTTGTCAGTACATACAAAGGGCCTTGCATTTAATGATAAATATGAAAAAAAAAGTTATAGTCAACTTGCACTGCATCTGACCTACAAGTGGAAACATCAGTACACGATGCACCTGTGAAGCTTCATGGTGTGTGCAGTGTCATGCGGGCAGGGAAAGAAAACAAACTTGAAATGAGAAAATATTCTCTGTTTCCTATCCTCATATCTCATCAGTATGGAAAAAGAGAAAAAAGGAAAAGCATATACTAGGATGAACAAGTTAAAAATTGAGGAATCCATAATTTCTTGTTCAAAAATCTTACATGACTCTGAAAAATATGATCAGTTTTTGCCATGCAAGTTCTTTTATCATCATTCATATTCAATTATGCTGTCAATTGTTATTACATTGTTGCAGCTTCTGACCAAATGGCTCTGTGCAGCAATTGAGAAACTTCTCTTCCAAATTCTTTGCCAGCTTATATATTCAAAAACAGTACATAAAAAGAGGCCATTGGCATTCAGAACAATATATTGTTACTTTTTACTTTTATGTACCTCTTTACCAAGCCTGATTTGTTAGGTTTACTACTGTTGGATTGTTAGATCACTGACTAATTTCATTTCCAAAATATTGAAACTATACAGCAGACTCATCAGCAGGTCTAAGAGAACAGGTGGTGAACAACTTGTATGGAGTAATTTATTGAGTTTTGGGATTTGGCCATTCCTCAAAAAGTTAATCTGGCTGCCCATTTTAGAATTTCCACTTCCAGCACTTTTTGATTTTAGGCTATCAGATTTTCTTTACAACTTTCCAGAACAATTCATATCAGTATGGATATTATCTGGAATATCCCGTATTAGAGCAGCTGATAGTACAAGTTGGGAATTCAAAGTAGCATCTGTATTTGTTCATCTGTATACTCTTCTCGGGCCTCAAATAACTGACAATGCTTCATTCATCGGTTTTTCTTTTTCTCCCACCTAATTTGTACAGGCCAAAGTCAAAGTCCCTGCTTCATGCAGACATAGTTAATATAGGTTTCCATAGGCAATGCAGGCCCTGTTTCTCCTTACCATAAAGGAACATTTAACTACTGCCTACCACATAATATTTCTCAGAACAACAGTTCATAACTGAGGCAGATAATATGTTCACTGAAAGTTACTTGGCACAAATGCAAAGTACAATTTGCAAGGTATGGTACCACCTCACACCAAGGGAGTGAGAGGAATGAAAGCCCTAGCAGCAAAGAGGAATTACTGCCCCAAATAAGGTGCTACCACAATTCATAACCTTCTACTGACAAAATTAAAAATCAACATTTTGCTGAAAAAGATTTGTGCGCTTCTTCAAGACAGCTTTATTACTTACATTATCATACAGTGAACCACTGATATCAGCTCCATAGATAGGAGACACAAACGTTAGATTCTTCCAGTATTTGCGCTCAAGGTCATCAAAATCTATGTGCCGTGGTGTACAATATCTGAAAGGGAAGAGTTAGAAACTAATTTTACACTTTTCTTTAAAAACAGAGCTGCTATGTGTTGAAATGCTGAAGAAGTGAGGAAAAAGAAAATTGATAAATAGATAGGGAGCCCACAAGAGGACAAGTAGGCCATTTAGCCCTTTGCATCTTCTCTCCACTCAATGAGTCTTTTCCCCATAATCCTTGAATCCATTACTGATTAAAAATCTGCCTATCTCAGCTTTGTTTATACCTAACAGCCCTGCCTGGTCACGTATCCCACAGATTCATAACTCTCATCACTATCTTAAAATGTGCAACCTCTTTATTCTGAGATTGTGTCCTACAGTTCTTGGCTTTCCTACTGGGGTGGAATCTCTCCATCTACCCCGCCAAATCCCCCATGCATCTTCTATGTTTCGATAAAATCACCTCTCTTTCTTTTATATGCCAACAAGTACAAGCCCAATCTACTCAACCTCTTCTCATATGACTGTCCCTTCTATACCTGGTATCAAGCTTGTCAACTCAATGCCTCTAATGCCAGTAGATTTACTTAGACAAAGGAGCATAAAACTGTTCACCGTCTTCCAGCTGCAGTCTGACTAGTATCTTGTACAGCTTTTATAAAACCTCCATACTTTCATACTCTTATTTCCTTTGAATTAAAAAGCCAACAATCCATTTGTCTTTCCTATTCCCTGAACTTGAATGCTAGCTTTTTGCGATTCATTGCCAAGGACTCCCTAATCCCAGTGTTCTGACACTTTCTGCGGTCTTTCTCCATTCAAATAATCTTCTCCAAGTTCCCAGGAAGGTTTGAGAATGTCATTTTGCAAGAAGAGTTATACTTTAAATCTCCATTTAGTTCCAAGGTAAAAGAGTTTGACACTCAAATGGTGGCTAAGCAACATCGCTACTTGCGGATAAGAACTATATGACTCTTGTTGCCATGAAGGAGAATTTTCAGACAAAGAATTTCCAAGATATTCTTGGTCAGGAAGACTTATAACCCTTCTGATAAATAGAATGCAGAAATTACAAAACAGAAACAGACCATTTAGTCTGCATCCACACTCATAAGCATCCAGGCTGATTAGCCACCACATGTGCAATAGACCTAACCCCAAAAGGGAATGGTTGAAGTGAATAGTGGAGATACATTTAAGGGGAAAATAGACAAGCAGCTGAGGAAGAAAGGAATAAATGCTATGATGGTACAATTTAGGTGAGAAATTTTGGAATAAGATTCAAGTGCAGTATATCATATGTAATCGTACAAAACTCTCAGATAAGCCAATATGCCAATCTCCAGGAGAGAAAGGGAGATCAACTGGAAGCAAAAATCCCGGTGTCTTATCACACAGATTGAGAGTGGGAGCTCACATCCAGACCGAAAAAAACAAATTCAAGAAGATTTGAAAAAAGGCTCAAAAATCCACCCAGCTGGCACCAGAGAGAGAATCTCCATGAAAAATCTCCATTAAAGAGCTCTGGGATTAAAAACTAGGAAAGGAAAGGAAGTAAACCCCAAGACTCTCCAAAACAGTTCTGGCTGGAAAATTGCATGACTATTATAGGGGGCAATTTAAAATGTACCTTTGAACTGCACCTTATGGTTGTGTTAGAAGAGGAAAGCTCAGTTCTGTAATTTAGCACATTAAGTTAAGTTGTCTACAAAAATCGGGTTTAGCAAGTAGTGCTTCCAGTCTGTTACAGTTAAAATCTTAAGTCAAAATGTATCATGTTAACCTTCCACCTATCTAAACGAATAATGGCTTCTTTATTATGAAGATACAGACCATCTATTCAGAATTACTTTGAACAACAAACAAAATACATGCTTGATCGGTCAGAAAGTAAGTTATATCACAGAGTTTCAATACCTGTTTTAGTTGTAATGTCCTCAAGACAAAGGGTTTGGTTAAGCTTTAACCTTCCATCTCTAAATACTCAGTGGGTACTTATTAATTATACATAAAGCAATTAATTACATGTAAAGCAGATAGTAAATTCATCAAAGGGCAATGGTTGATGCCGATTATAGACCCAGTTGTATCGAAAAGCGAGAACACAAAATAAAATGTTTCTGCCTACTACAATATTTTAAAAATCTAGTGAAACTATTATGGATATGAGTGGATCATGAGTTTGACAAATGTATTTTCTGTAAAATTCCAGTGTTAACTCTTACTTCTGGCTCAAATAGCTGCAGGTTAAGTCACGCAGCCAAGATAAATGCCTAATCTAGACTGAAATGCACATTCAATAATGGGAGATTTATTGTCATACAGTGTGTATATCCTTCGGATAAGAAGTTACATTGAAGTTGAGACAACGATCTTTACCACACATGGGCAACATCTCAGTAAACTAATTCAGATCAAAACAAAATCATTTTTCAGTTAATCTTATTGTTGATTACAGGATATCAGCCAGGATAACATCCGAGAGCTGGAGCTTGCAGAACCATACCACTTCCTAGTGATTACAATGGAGGCAGCCAATATTCCACAGGTTTCCACAATGGCATTTTTTTTAGCAAAAAAAAGACCATTTCATTAACACAGGACCTGTGTTAATCAAATTTTCCACTAAACTAATCACGACGAGCTGCCAAGGGAGACTCAAAATCCTGGGGATAAATTTTTGCTGTGAATGGACCAAAGAATAAGAAAGACTGAAAAGTTAATCTAGCAAGTAATATCAAGACAGCAAGAGCTTCTTTAAACATATGAAAATGAAGAGAGAAGCCAAAGTGAATATAGGCCCCTCAAAGAATAAAAAAAAAAACAGAAGTTGCTGGAAAAGTTCAGCAGGTTGGCAGCATTTGAGAAATCAGAGTTAACCTTTCAGGTCCAGTGATCCTCCCTCAGAACTGATAGTAGCTACGAAAATGTGGGTTTCTATGCAGAAGATAGGGTGGGGCTGGGGGGTTAAGGAGTAAATGATAGGTGGCCTAAAGAGAAAGAAAAACAGTTGGACAGGTAAAGGAGTGAATAACAATTTGGCTGGGAGGGCAAACAGCTTTTAAATGGAGGTTGTTAGTGACTAACAATATGTAGTGTGAAATGGCAGACTGAGAATAACAAGGCCTGCTGTGTTTGGGATAGGGGACTAGGACATGGGAGAGTTTAGGCCCTACAATTACTGAACTCCATGTTGAGTTCGGAGGGCCACAGGGTCCCCAAGCAGCAAATGATGTGTTGTTCTTCCAGGTTGCACTGAGCTTCGTTGGTACTCTGTAGCAAACCTGAGACAGAGATGTTGGCCAGGGAACAGAGTGGTGTGTTAAAGTGGCAGGCAACTGGGAGCTCAGGGTCTTTTTTGCAGGCAGAACATAGCTGTTCTGTGAAGCGGTCACCCAATCTACGTTTTGTTGCCCCAGCGTACAGGAGACCATGTTGTGAGCAGCGAATGCAGTACACTAGAGTGTGAGAAGTGTAGGTGAAGTGCTGCTTCACCCGGAAGGTATATTTGGACCCTTGGACACTGAGGAGGAAGGAGGTAAATGGGCTGGTGTTACACCTTCAGCGGTTGCAGGGTAAAGTGCTGTGGGGAGTTGTTGAGAGTGAAGGAAGAGTGGACCAGGGTGTTCCAGAGGGAATGTGTCCCTGCAGTAAGCGGACAAAGGAGGGGAGGGGAATGTATGGCTGATGGTGGCAGAAATGGCAGCTGATGATCTTCTGGATGCAGATGTTGGTGGGAAGGTGGTTAAGGACAAGACAATCCTATCGCTGTTGCGGGAGTAAAGAGAGTGTCTGATGGCACAAGTGCGGGAGATGGAACAAACCTGGAGGAGGACCCTATCAACAAAAGTACTGGGGAATCCTTGAGTAAGAAGCTGGACATTTCGGAGGCTCCCTTGTCGAAGATGGCCTCATCAGAATATGCGACGGAGGTGGAGGAACTGGGAGAATGGAATGGAGTCTTTACAGGAAGCTAGATGTGAGGAAGTATAGTCCAGGTAGCAATGGGAGTCGATGGATTTATAGGGATATCAGTGGCCGGTCTATCAGAAATGGAAAAACAGATGTCAAGGAAGGAGTCGGAGATAGACTTGGTGAAAGTGAGGTCAGGGTGGAAATTGGAAACAAAAATCAATGAACTTTTCCAATTCCAGACCAAGAGAGTGAGGCAGCACCGATGAGATCATCAAGATATTGGAGAAAAAGAGTTGTGGGCGGGGGCCAGAATAGGACTGGAAAAGGAATGTTCCATGTACCCCACAAAGATACAGGACTCTCTGCTTCTTCCTGGAGCAAAGGCCTGAACCGTCCACACCCACCACCACCACCCTCCTCCGCTTGGCTAAGCTCATCCTCATCCTCAACAACTTCCCTTTTAATTCCTCTCATTTTCTTCAGGTCAAAGGGAGGGGTGGCCATCCGTACCCACGTGGGCCCAAGTTATGCCTGTCTCCTTGTGGGGACACGACACTGATCAAACAGTGTCAGCATGGCTTCTTGAAGGGGAAAATCACACCTGACAAACTTACTAGGGATTCTTAGTAGTGGTAACAAGCAGGATAGATAAAGGGGAAGTAGAGGATGTAATATATTTGGACTTCCAGAAGACATTTGACAAGGTACCACACATTAAGCTACTTAAGATACAAATCCATGGTGGTGTTAGAGGTCATTTGTAAACATGGAGAGAGGATTGGCTAACTAATAGAAGAGTTGAGATGAGGACTGCATTTTCAGGATAGCAACCTGTAACTCATGGTGTACAGGGATTAGTGCGGGGCCACAATTATTTACAATATCTATTAATGACGTGGATGAAGACAGTGAATGTACCATGTCCAGGTTTAAGGATGACATAAATGGAGGGAGGAAGGCAAGTGATGTGGATGACAAAAAGGGACATAAAACAGGTGAGGCAAGTGGGCAAAAACTTGGCTGATAGAATATAATGAGGTAATGCACTTTGGGAAGAAGAATAGAGGAGCCAAATATTATTTTAAATAAAGAAACACTGCGAAAGGCTTTCGAAGGAGGATTTTGGAGTCTTAAATTTCCTAGTTAACCATAAACTGCAAAATGCTAACATCCAAATTTAATAGCTAAGACAAATGGAATATTACTTTTATTTCAAAAGGAATGGAGTATAAAAGTATCTGGAGTAAGGGAAAACAGCTTGACAACAACATTCTGACTCCCGATTAGGTGACCATGGCTTCTGTCAGGGTAGTATCGCAGAAAATCACCTAACTTGCAAAAAGAAAGTAAAAAGGAGTGGCTGTTTCTCATATATAGACACTAGAATGCATCCAATAACAGCTAGCTATCTACCACTCGCTTTGCCCTGCAAATCCCCTTTTAAAGGAGGGGAAAAAAACCCTTAAAGACTGAGGGGACGAACTCTCAGTGAATGAAAGTCCTTAACCCTTTGTCATCAGTACACAAACAACTATCTCATCAGCAAGGTGCTATTAAGAATCAAAAGGAAGAGAAGAAAGCAACTCATCAAATCCTGAGGTGCTACTGGCACTATTGACTTGCTACCTGTCGCTACAGTCAGCTAGCCATCACGAACCACCATCTTGAAGCAGCGTGTCTAAAAATTGCCCAGAAGCATGAACATGCCACAAAACAGAACACCAGCCAGTGACAGGTTATTGAAGGTCTGTCCTTCAAAAGGCAGTTAAAATTTAGTAGCTAGAATCTAGCATATTAAAACACGACAAAACTTGTAAGAAGTTAGCATTATTTTGCCTAGTTAACACGCCATGAAACTTTTAAAATTTATTTAATTTCATAGTTATATTTATCATTTCACAGTGTCAGCTTCCAGCCTAATAACCATTATTTCAATAACAGTTTCAGATTTTTCTTTCATTATACCTAATATATTTAAACTTATTCCGGCAGTATTCTTTTCACCATTAGTATTTGTTCTAATGGTCTGAGAAAATTTCTCTGCTTTTACACAAAGGACAACCTTCCTTTGGTGAAATTTAACATCCTTCAACTGCAATTTTAATTGGACTACTTATCCATTGAGAAAATCATTTCTTTAACTTGTACTTAATTTTCTTATATATATTTCTGATATATCCTGCATAATCATTTTGAAGCATTCCATTAAATGAGGTTTCAGCAACAATGTCCAGATAATCAAAGTTAAAGGTGTACTCTTTCAAATGTTGCCTTTTCCAAATTTTACTTTGTCCTGATTCTTTGAATCTTACTATGACTACTGATCCTTCAACATTCCATTACTTTTACCAACTCAATCGTGATCACTAAAAAAAATTCAATTCAAATTTATCTCACAGGTTTAGTAGCACATTCATTTATAAACAAGTTTAAAAGAAGTTTTCATACTTTTCACTGTTGGCCAACTTCCTGTACTCTCCAACTGTCATGGATTTCTTCTGAATGTTGTACTGTGTGAAAAGCCCAGATTGGCCAGTCACTACTTGTTGAATTGGAGCTGGGATGGTCATATCATCAATATCGTCATACGACTTTCTTGGTTTCCACTCCTTGGGGGGAATAACCTGAAAGCAGTGCATCAATCATTTGGCAAAAGAAAGCTATCGTTATTTCATATCTAGAATATTTATCAATGATCTGTGGACTATGAGTGAAGCAGAGTCTCAAAATCCAGGAAAGGGATACGAATGCAAAGGTTATAGGCTCAGGTACAGGAAAATTTGTGTTAAGACCACTGGAGTTTAACAGACAATGTTTTAAACTGTCTCTTTTGATTCAAGGTAAAATGCAGCAGATTGGAGCGCGGATGTGGCCACCTAAAGAATCTGCCTGGCGATAAATGCATATAACTTCACTAATATGTACCGAGAAACAAACCCATATGACTTAGCTGTTGTGGGGGTAAGAGGACCAGGTTAAAACTTACTGAAAGTAAGGTGGGAATTTTATCACCTTGACTTAAAAGATGAGGCATCTGTTGCATGCAGATTCACAGACTCTCAAATTCAACTAAACAGTTAAGGGGAACACAACCCAGAACAAGTGCTGCCAAGTTAAGCAGGGAGAAATAACTTTCTAGTTTAACTTCCTAGCAGAGTTCTGCTGAGGATGGCTGGCTCCCTTATCCAAGAAGTAAAAAGCTTGCAGTGGGGAATTTAAAATCAAAGAGTCACTACCATGTGAGCTTACTATTAAAAGTCCATTTGAATATGCTTAGAAGATTGACTGAAGGGGTCTTTGTTTAAAAGAATACTTGAAGATTCACCTTAATGGGGCAGGGAGAAAAGGTCCTATTAATGCTGGGAGTAATTTGGAATTTTAAACAAAGAACTAGATTTCTGCTGAAAATGTGATATGTAAACATGGCACGAGGTGAGGTGAGGTGAGGCGAGGCTTTCAATGATATTAACAAAGTAACAGGTACATTTTCTGGTGTTTATTGTAGAAGAAATCTACATTTACATTTCCCCTTTTAGCACCATTTCCCTTTATGTCGTTAGATAGTCAGGACTGGAAATCTGAGTGCTGAAAGATTCATTTAATGCTGTTTACAACAGAACTTTATCTGACCCTAATGGCACCATTTCTCTCTCAGAGTGGAGGTCTCCCCTAGCCTTCCAACATGCAGCCCACTGTCCCAAGGCCACCACCAATCTTGGCAGACCCCTTCTTCCCACAAGGTGATGGCTTGAAGCGCAAGACCCCCTCAGCAGTCTATGAGCCAGTGGACAAAATCCAACTGCTCCCCCATGCTTACCCACCAGCCAAAAACTATGATTCTCCACAGAAACTATGCAAATCTGGCCACTATCACAGGGAAAGAGAGGCTGGTCAGTTAGAGGAGAAGGAAGGTCAAAGCCCGACAGCCATCTAAGAAGCACAACTTCACCAGTGGCCTGAGCAGACCCTGAGGCAGGAGCGGCCAGCAAGTAAAGGTGCAGCAAATGTCCAAAAATACATTGAGGCAGTGAACGTATAGAATCTCTATTGTGCTGAAACAGGCCACTAGGCCCAACAAGTCCACACAGACCCTCCGATCACCATCCCACCCAGACTCACCATCCCTGCAACTCTGCACCTCCTATGGCCAATCCATCTAACCTACACATTACTGGACACTATGGACAATTTTGCATGGCCAATCCACCTAACCTGCACATCTTTGGACAGTGGGAGGAAACCAGAGCACCAGAAGGAACCCCACGCAGACACAGGGAGAACATGCAATCTCCACACAGACAGTGGCCAAAGGATGGAATTGAACCCGGGTCCTTGGCACTGCGAGGCAGCAGTGTAGCCACTGAGCCACCGTGCTGCCCAATGGAAAGGCAGTGCCCACAATTCAGCACCCTTGACGCAGCCAGGAGAAAGTGAGGATGCAATTAGACAGTCAAGAACCCAACCAGTAAAGGCACCCATGGTGCAGACTATGGTCAGTATCCCCAACCCCACCAACTCCACTCCCCAGCACCACTCCCAGGGGGTCCACTACAGGCAACACCATAAGTAAATTACTATATTTTTCATAAAATAAATACATTTCAAAATATAAATTATTTGATTTAACTGTGTAGCACTTAACCATTTAAAATACAAGTTTTGTTGTATTTCAATTTAGAGAGTACAGTTATAATGTTCCAATTTTCCTCTAAGTAATGCCCTATGGAACTTAATACCAGTTTTAAACTTGATCCCTATTAACTGAAAATTAACGTTTTACTTTTTACTTACAAGTTGTGACTTTCAGAAACAACCTGAACTGAAAACATTGTATGAGTAACCAAGTGAGTGAAGTTAAGTTGATACTGATTTTAGTTTGTCAAAGTTAAATTCTTGGTTTGTGAAATATTGTCATATTTTCATTTCTTTGGTCAATGGAAAATTTCATAAGTTAATCAGTCTCTATGAGATAAAAGAACAAAAAAAAAAGAAACAATTCAGAAATATATGCAGATCTACTGCCAATAACTATTTTGCACCAGCTAGAATGGACAAACCACCCTTCAGAAGCATCACGTACCAGTGCTCCTACACCTTAATCCAAATTTTCCAGTTATTTGTAATTCCTTCCTCAAACCAAACACTGAAAGGGAATTGTTGTAAAATCTGTCTGTATATCAATGCAGAGACACACAAAATATTTTCATGGGAGTGTTTACAAGAATTTTTCCAACATGTAATTTGAAACTTGTGTCACATATAAACAGGGTGGTTAAGGCATTTAGCACGCTTGCCTTCATTGCTCAGACCTTTGAGAATAGGAGTTGGGATGTCATGTTGAGGTTGTACAGGACATTGCTAACGCCCCTTCTGGAGTGCTATGTATAGTTCTGGTCATCCTGCTACAGGGAGGATATTATTAAATTGGAGATGGTTCAGAAAAGAATTACTAGGATGTTGCCAGGAGTAGAGGGTTTGAGTTACTACATGTAGGAGATTGAGGAGCATAGATAAGGTGAATAGTAAGGGTTTGCTCCCCTAGGCCGGGGAGAGCTCAAAACTAGGGGGCACATTTTTAAGGAGAGAGGAGAAAAATTTAGGACAAACTTGAGAGGCAACTTTTTTTTAAAGACAGAGTGGCTCGTGTGTGGAATGAACTGCCAGAGGAAGTGGCATATGTAGTTGGAATTACAACATTTAAAAGACATTTGTGCAAGCACATGAATAGGAAGAGTTGGAGGGATATGGGCTAAATGCAGGCAAGTGGGACCAGTTTGGTTCGAGAACATGGTCGGTGTGGACTAGTTAGACAGAAAGGTTGGAAGGTTTCCATGCTGTATGACTATGACTACGTAATTCAGACAGCTGCCAGCAGAGGGGGCAACCAACACAGGCACCACTCGCTTCTCCCTCACAAATCATTACCTTGCGTACACTAATTGACAAACCTGTAGCATTACAAGAAGTTAAAACTGACAATTCCATTTTTTAAAATTGTATAAAAGTTACAAACGAGCAAATTCATTTTGTACATATATATCAGTATACCAATGCACATCGGCTGTAAAATCAATTTTTTTTTGGTAATTTCACAGATTATTCCTGATTACCAGACACATTCCCCATAGCTACAAGGGAATTTTTCAATGAACCCCAAAATTCTGAGAATGTGTTATGTGAGACAACACCTCCAGTGAACAAATCACAATGAAAAATTGCTGCACACGATTTTCCACTCTTCATTCTTTGCCATACAAAAGCAATTTATTTTAAGACACATAAATCTCAGGTTGTAGATTTTTACCAATATTGGAAAACAGTGAGAGAACAAGCAGCAAGGGCCAAGAAGGGATCAGCAATGTGAATGTCAGTTATAATGTCATCATAAATTACTGCCGGCACACAAACCATGAAATGTCATCAGGAATCAGAAAGTGGACTCACCGATTAGAAAATTCGACTGAACTCATTTAAAGTCATCTATTGCTGATAAGCATGCTGTAATATTTTTCCTGCTACTTGTACATTTCAGGAATAGGGAGGATGATTTCAGTATATTACTTTGGTGGCTCCAAAATTATCAGTTACCAGATAAATTGTGCATTGGACCAGGTACTTAAATGGCCAACCCTAACTTAAATTGCACGGTATAATGCGTTACCTTTGCCAGTCCTGCTCTATGGGCTCCCTGGGATTCAATGTATACAATATACTTCCTGAAATCTTTGAACTCTTCCACCGTTGGACGGAAGGTCATGATCTTGCAGTTTGGATTAGGAGGACCCGGATTTTCCGTTGCCATGGTTAAGCTAATTTCTGTAACAAAAGAGGAAATTAATCAAATACTCCTGAATCCACCAACAATAAAACTTATGAACAAAGGAGACATATGCAATTTGATAAAGAACCTCACAGCATACTGCTGAGCAAAGTTAGAGCTCACGGACAAAACGGACAGTCACAACATGGATAAGAAATTGTCCAAGTGACTTCAACCAGAGGGTTGCAGTTAGTAATCATTTTTTTGGACTGGTGGAAGATTTAGACTGGAATTCCATACAAGTCAGCGTTAGGACACTTCCTTTTCCTGACATACATCAATGACCTAGACCTAGCATGCAGGGCAGAATCTCAAAATTTGCATACATTGCAAAACTGGAAAGTATTGTGAAGTGTGAGGAGAATACTGTTACATTTCAAATAACATGAACACGTCGGTGGAATGAGCAGACAACCGGCAGATTAAGTTTTGTGTAGTGAAGTGAGAAGTTGTTCGTTTCAGTAGAAAGAATAGAGACAATACAAAATAAACGATAATGTTATGAGCCGGAGTTGATGGTAGTACTGGACAAATCATATAGCAGAATAATATTTGTCTTGAGAAGTTTGATCTTCACAATTTAGTTACTATTGCGGTCCATCACCAAACATGTTCATAAGAGACTGTCAATGTATTTTTAACAAAAGAATAAAGTTCACAAAAGGAAAGAAAAATAAATCTTACACTAAATAACAATTATTTGAAATAACCTTGTTACACAAGTCAAAAATAAACAAACATTCAACCCTTTTCCTCTTGACAACCTTACAGGCACTCAAGCCTCAAAAATTCACCTTGTTTCCACTTTAAAGTTCCTTGATCAGTGGACACAACTATACTTGGTTTTCTTCCAACAAACTTGTAAAAGTTTGCTAGTAGTTAATGTCTCTTCATGAAACTCAAACAACCGCTAACACAGCCAACTTATTTCTTCATCTTTCACAGTTAAGTTCCTTAATCTTTCACAGCTTTGTTATTTGAGTTTCTCAGAATTTCTTACTCATGCCCCGACTGTTCTGGACATTGGTAGAGGCCTCTTCTCTCTGAAAGAAATCTTCACACTCACTGTACATCTGGATGGTTCTCTAAAGGGAAATCATTTCTGTTTTGTCTCTGTCATAGGACACCTTGCTGCTAGACACCAATCCAGTTGTTTTTGAAAGCACCGAACTACACAAAGGGTTTCTTAAAAGTCTCATCTAAATGCATGTCACAAACTCCAGACAACCTAGCACCACACTGAGAATTCAACTGCAACCAAAACATCCTACTTTATATACACGATACAGAAATAAAAATCTAACAAAGCTATACACGGTTCTGACAACTTTGGAATCCAATTTCCAAATACTAACAACATAACATTAACCTTCATCACAGTACAAGACTAAAGCAAGGCGCAGGAACAGACAGACCTACATGCAAAAATCACAGAAGCTGGCAGATCAATTTGATAGCATGGTTGATAAGCATACAACTTTATCAATAAGAGCACAGAGCATAAAAACAAGGAAGTTATGTTGAACTTGTATAAAACACTGACTCAATCTGTCCAATTCTGGGCACTCCACTGTAAGATGGATGCATACACATTAGTGAGGGCATAGAAAACATTTATTAGAATGGTTTCATAGTTGAGGAATTTCAGTTGCTTGGATAGATTGAAGAGGCTGCAACAGTTTTTGAGAGAGCGCGAGAGAAAGTTAAAGGCAAAATTTCCCAAAGTGTTAAAAATCATAAAGGGTTTCCACCTAGTAGTTAGGGAGAAACTGTTCCCTTGTGGAAAGAACCAGAGAACACAAATTTAGGGTAATTGACACTAGAAGTTGTGGCGGCAACGTGAGGAAAAGCCAGTTTTTAAAAACAGTTCGTGGTTAGGATCTGGATTGCACTGCCTATGCTGTGCAGGTGCAGTCAAGGCACTCAGGAGGCAAATGAATTATCTGAAATTTAAAACTATGAGATTACAGGGCAAAGCTGGGCAAGTGGCTCTTTGTGAGGGGTGCATTCAGAGAACTAGGACATGATTGAATGAATAGAGATAACAAGGTGTAGAGCTGGATGAACAGAGCAGGCCAAGCAGCAGAGGAGCAGGAAGGCTGACGTTTTGGGCCTAGACCCTTCTTCAGAAGTGCGGGAGGGCAAGGGGATTCTGAAATAAATGGGGAGAGAGGGGGAGGCGGATAGAAGATGGATAGAGGAGAAGATAGGTGGAGAGGAGACAGACAGGTCAAAGAGGCGGGAATGGAGCCAGTAAAAGGTGAGGGTAGGTGGGGAGTTAGGGAGGAGATAGGTCAGTCCAGGGAGGACGGACAGGTCAAGGTGGGGTGGGGGGAGAGAAGAGGCGGGATGAGGTTAGTAGGTAGGAGATGGGGGTGGGGCTTGAGGTGGGAGGAGGAGATAGGTGGGAGGAAGGACAGTTTGGCTCGTTAGATAGCTGCCACCACCCTCATTTTCTGACTGTGTCTGCAGGGCCTGTGTGGTCTGAAGTGTTGATGTAAAACAAAGTCTAACAAGAAAAGCCTCTTGTATTTTTAGAAAAAATGTGTGGCGATTGCAATGACAGCAATCGGGTACAAGTTACAAGTTACAAGTTACAAGTTACACTGGTAAGATAGACATTGTTAATAAGTATTGGGAAAATTACGATAATAGGTCAGTACTCTTTGAGATCCTACCTTTCTGCCTTTCCCCACCTAAATCATCAGATTGGGTGGAGTTTAACATCAAATGGCAAGTGGAAATGTAATTAAGATTAGTCTTAAATGAATCCAATTACAAAGGAGTTGAATATGCCTTTCATTGTCTCTTGAAATAAAATACATTCCTGTGTCATAACCAAACTTCAACTTGTTTTTGTCTCCTCCATCTACTCCTGTTGAAATATAACAGTGCAACTAAGGAAACTGATTCTGAGCAGCTAAACTAGTATTTCCAGCAAAGCTACAAATCACCCGTGAACCCCCACTTCAATTGTGTCTGTTCGTCCAAAACCCAAGAACTGTAATCCCAGTTACCAAAAAAAAACTATTGTGTCCTAGTGCCACTAGAGGTCAGTGAAATGCCTCGGTACCGAGATACAAGACTATAAAGAAATAGGAACATAAGCAGGCTATTCTTGCTCCCTTTCTTAATGAAAGAAACTTGTCATGCTTAGTATCAGACAGAACTTTTCAAAACGTAGTCTGCTTTATGTAAGAAATGTAAAATGATCTGAAACTCAATAGTTATTCTAATTCCATGTGCCTTCATCGAACTAACTTTAGGTAGGTTCAGTTCTCTTTAATCTGAACAAAAATATTTTGCAAACTGCTTGACCCAAATCTTAAGCATTTGGTATACTAGGAGTGCAAAATTGATCAGATCATACATTTCACCAGCCACAAAAAGTAACAATCGTTATCAATACAAAGAGATATGCAATACTCCCTTAGGGTTCAGGTTCAGGCTAATGGTACTAGGTGCTGGAACTCAAGGACAGTATCTTATATTGCCCTGAAGACAGGAGTAATTTATGATCAAAAACAGAAGTTGCTGGAAAACCTCAGCAGGTCTGGCAGCATGTGAAGAAAACAAAATCAGAGTTAACCTTTTGAGTCTGATGACCCTTCCTCAGAACAGTTTATGATAGAGTAATTTATGATAACTGGACAAGATACAGAAAAGAAAAATAATTTTGCAACTTTTAATATTAACTGAACGACAGTGCATTGAGCTTGAACATTTGGCTACAAGCCATCCGACTCACACCAATAAACACCTCTCTCTACGTGGAAAGAAAGTCAAAGCTGGATTAATTCACATGCACCTCTCAGTTGTTGGTTTTGATCAAAAACTGGCAGAGTTTGGAGACTTGGTGGATGGGTCAGCAGTGGGTGTTGGTGACAGGAATTACTGAAAGTTTCATTTGTAAAACCAGGCAGCATAATTTGCCTACAATTGGTCAAATTAGTGCAAAATTTCAAGAAGTTTCAAGCACAAATATCCAGCATTGTTACAGCAATCTTTCGTGCTCATTTCCAACAAAAACTTTATTGCTGGATGCTGGCCCCTTTCACAACTGACCACGTGTATAAGCTTGGCATGTTTCCACCAAGTGAGGGGAGAGAAGAGAGATATATAAAAGACATGAGGGGCAATTTTTTTTTTTTAAAAAAGAGAGCGGTCGTATCTGGAATGAACTTCCTGTGGAAGTGGTGGATGCAGGCACAATGTTTAAAACACATTTGAATAAATACATGAATACGAAAAGTTTGGAGGGATATGGGCCAGGAGCAGGCAGATGGGACTAGGTTAGTTTGGGATTATGTCTGGCATGGGCTGGTTGGACCAAAGGGTCTGTTTCATACTGTATGACTCTACACCAATAGGCAAGGAGGCTTTAAAATGAAGCCGCTGTAACTTCAACCACACGAAATGAAACAAATGAATGATTCCGTACATTTTTTGAAAATTTTAAAATAGCTGAAAAAATTAAGTTACTCACAGGTTTTGGACTGGACACTAATTTAAAATATTTATCTTTTGTGATAAACGCATTTTGAGCTGCATTAATAGAACAACGCCTGGTTAACACACTTGAAATATTAAAAAGATAGCTCTTATTAGCTATTTATTTTTATTTTATGCTGGCTCATTATTTTTCCAACCAAAACGGATCAGTTCACACTTCTCCACGTTAATTTTCATCAGCTATTTCTCCACCCATTCCAGCAGCCTGGGACCCAATGAAATTTTACGCTATCCTCCTTACAGTTCATAATACTTCTAAGCTGTACGTCATCAGCAAATTTGGAAATTAGGGCCTGTACGCCAAGTGGCACAACTTGAAGGCTCAATACTGCAAGGTGTGGGAGGAAACAGAACAAAAGTCTAGTCCAAAGTTAGATTCCACTGTTAAACAAATGAAAAATCTTAGTTTAATTTATGCAATTAAACAAAACTAACAGGCCTTTTCCCCCTTTCTTTTCAAACGAAAACTGTAGCTGAACCAACT